TGAGAAACTTGATCTGGTGTATATAGAGGTGTGTTCTTTCACAATATGATTATTATTAGAGGGTGTCACAGATGACACCCGTTAGTTGCGACCCTAAATTGATGGTTCTTACCTCCCTCAACCCCCTAATAAACCCCACCCCACCACCCTGCACCCCCTTCCCTTAATTGCTATTTTGATGGAACTAATCTTATCTTATTATATACAATGCTAGGATTGCCTTTTGAACAGTGTTCCCGCCCAAATTTATTGGGCCGGGTCACTGAAAATGGGCTGGGTGGTTATGGGCTACTTTTTTCGATTTTGAGGCTAATGATGAAACTTATCACCGTGTCCCCTAGGTCTGCGTGTGCACGGGTATTAAAAAACATTCACTACTTTTTAGGTGTAAATTTACTTTATGTCTCATGGGTAAGTGTAAACTTACTACTTTATGGGTATGTGTGTTGCATGGAGCCACACACCATAAAGTAAGTTGCCCTTTATCTCAAATCAACATTTATTAAGGTGATTTTACAAATCTTTTTTGCTACGGTAAAAGTAAAGATCTTCCAAATCTCTTTTTCTGCACCAAACGTATCATTTAAATACAAAAAGTGAAGATCTTCCAAATCTCTTATCATTATTACTATGAATCATTAACTTGATTCACCAATTTTTTTTAAATATCTGCTTACACCAGAACACAGTATAAATACAAAGTACATCTTGGGTACTTTCCAGTCTTGCCTCCGCCCTTCAAGTACTTCTCACCACCTTGAAACCATATTAATATTCTTTAATAATCTTTGCAAATACTTAAATTGCAGTAGTAAAATCAGCCCGAAGAATAGATTCAACAATATTTCATGCAATAAAAGTTTGTAGCATTGTAGTGAAGAACAAAATCATCCACGAAGGTAGTTTGACAAAATCATGCCCCGGAGTATAAGTTTATCATTCAAAAGGTTTTAAAGAGGATTTTTTTCTTAAATCTTAGAAACAGTTTGAGCAAAAACATTCAAATAAGAAGAGGAAAGCATAAAAGGGTATTTTGAAAGATCAAAGCATACATAATGA